CATGATTCTATCTTCCTCTCGTAAGAAAGTGCCTTGATATTATATGCAGATGAGAAGGCCAATAAGGAATGTAACAGAACACCCTTCCCCCCGTGCGATTGTGAATTCCAGAGTCTCCTTGTCCTTCTCTTCACTAGAGGAGATTAGCACTGTGCAAAGCTAAAAGTGTACCATGAGCCACAGATACGTGAAGGTTACACCCTAAATTTTTAAACTATCGATATGATTGGTGACGTATTTTTATATATTTAATGTGAAGTCAATGCATTTTGTTAATATGAGGCTGTGTACTGTGAACTGCAATGAAAACCGTAAGATGGTGGTGATGTACGGGTGGGAGGGAGGTCACTCGGCAGCCAGTGTGTAGAAGTGATCAGAATAGCATTAATGGTAAAAATGCTCACTTAAAAACATGGGGCAGGGGTCACAAAATGAGGAGTGAGCAGGAGACTGAACCTGTAATAAAAATAATAGACTGGGCGTGGTGGCTCACGCCTGTAATCCCAGCACTTTGGGAGGTGGAGGCGGGCGCATCATAAGGTCAGGAGATCGAGACCATCCTGGCTAACGTGGTGAAACCCCATCTCTACTAAAAATACAAAAAATTAGCCAGGCGTGGGGGCGGGCACCTGTAGTCCCAGCTACTTGGGAGGCTGAGGCAAGAAAATGGCTTGAACTCAGGAGGCAGAGGTTGCAATGAGCTGAGATCATACCACTGCACCCCAGCCTGGGCGACAGAGCGAGACTCTGTCTCAATAATAATAATAATGATGATGATGATGATGATGATGATGATGATGATGTGCACTTATATGAGATTTACTGTAGGCCAGGCTCCATTTTAAGCACTTTATAGATATTAGCCCATTCAATCTTCATCACAATTGTATGAGGTAGTTGAGATTATGATCTCCACTTGTTAGATGAGAAAACAGAACCATGAAGAGATTAAATAACCTGGCCACCTGGCTAATCAGTGGCAGAATGAAAATTTGAACTCGGGCAATCAGATACCAAGGGAGCTCTTCCCTGTGCTGTGATCCCTGTGGCAGTTAATCTAGAATGCAAAGAGAAAGACAGAGAGGACTACTTGGGCAGGTGGTAAGTGCTGAGGTTGACCAGTTGAGGGATAAAGTCTATATCTTGTGCCAGAAAGTGGTCAAGAGCAAAAAGGATTCCTGGGTTTAGAATCAGAAACACGCCAGTCCGGTTGGTGACAGAGGCTTCCAGAAGACGGGGAAAGCAGGCGTGTGCACGAAGCCCAAGACCACACACTCGGTGAACAAGACAGTGGGGAGTGGCGAGTGATAAATCAAAGGGTGGAAGTGGAAAACAAATGAAGGCTAAGATATATTGATCATTGGACCTTAGATATTGTACAATATGAAAGATAATTAAACAGCTTCTGCTTAATCCTTTGCATCCTGAAAACAGCACTCAGGCACAGTCAGCTTTGGATTACCTCACCCTGATGTCTTTATCCAAATTTTCTCCAGCGTTTTCTGTAGTTGCTGGATTTTTACAGATCTTATCACTACTTTTATTGTCTGTGAACCAGAAGAGACTTTGTGACATTACATGTTACGTGTGTAAACATAAGAAACTAATGTCACAACAATCGAATGAAATGAGATCCCTGATTATGAACCTCATTTTGTGGATGAGAAAACTGAAGCAGAAGAAGGTCAGTTTGACAAAAGTTAATCAACTAATATTGGCAAAGTAGAGTTTGGAAGTGAGGTCTCTCTGAAGAGAGTCCAGACTCTTAAGTACATCAGACAAACAAAATTCATGGTCCAGCTCCAGCAGAGGGATGTATTTGAAAGTTGAGTGATGCCATCAGTTAGTAACAAAAAGTGGCTGTTTAGCGGAGTAGGGCCTTGGTATTCATAAGTCATGCATCTGAGATTTTGGTGAGTACCTGCTTTCCACCAGAGGTGCTCCCACAGTTCAGTCAAGAATGCTTTAAAATGTGAAGTGCTCCTTCAGAACCATATGATTCCATCAAAACAAACTCTGCGCTATGATACGGTGATGTTCCTAAAGATACTACACTGTGATATTCCTAAAGTAACATCAGCTATAAACATACCTGGAAAAAAATAGACTTTTTATTACTTTGTAGAACCTACAAAGTCAAATTTTGGTGGGAATGTTGGATGATTTCTAGGTTCTGTCACTATGAGTAATAGCCTCTGGTTCGTCTGTTTTTCAGGTCGTGTAACTAGATTGACATTTCAGCACAATTCCAATATACTGTATGAGGCATGGACCTTCAGGGTCATGAACAAATAACATCATAAAGACCACATTTTCTACAGCTGAGAATGTACCGTGACATCAATCTGTGCAAAGCTACATGAAGGTTACACCCTGAATCTTTTGTACACGCAAGGAAAATGTTGCTGCATACACAAACTAGGTAACTGTGCATGTGGCAGCGAGTTACAGAAAGTACACATAAACACCGGTAAGGAGGTCCACAATTCCAAGATGGAAATGGTGTCAGGCATGTGAGTAGTTAGGACTCCAGTCATGGGTCCTTGGTCTCATCCCTACAAGCCATGACCTCCTTGCAGACCAAGATAGCATCTCCTAGTTCCACGTATACTAACAAGGAGCAAGTGCTCAGTAAATATTTGTTGAATTAATAAAGAGTAAAAGGGGAACAAAACATAAAGAATATCGTTGTAGGCCGGGCGCGGTGACTCATGCCTGTAATCCCAGCACTTTGGGAGGCTGAGGCAGGCGGATCAC